GCTATTATGAAATGTTCTCGTGGAGTTCTTTTTACCCATTTTACCCTACTAGCTTTTTCCTGGAGTCCCTTTGGAAAATGCTTCCACTTTGGGCACTCTGTTTATGAGCATTTCCATACTGAACAATCCACATGCCAGCAAATATATACATTATTTGTCAACAAAATGGCTTTTTCTGATTATTTTGTGCAGCTGGTCCTTTCAGACCTCCTGTTTCAGCCTCTGCAAGGGCAGATTTTAAAGTGCTTCCCTCCCAAATGCCTTTTGGGTGTCAGATGGCATGAGCAAAGCCAGGTGTGGAGGGAGAATCTTGCCTTTATTTTCGTTTTAAGCAATGCCAGCAGCTGTAGCTATCAAGCCCCTAAGCTGCCTCCTGTCTAATCCATCTTCAGGTCACAGCTTTCCTGGCTCCTCTGAGAATAACGGAGCCCAAATGCTCCTGGAGGGGCTTGGGAGCTACTGGGAGCGCTCCTAGCTGAGACCTGAAGCTCTTACTGCACCCGTGATGGGCGCATGAAGCGGCTCTGCGGATGGAAGGAGCTGGGCCCAGCCGAGCCCTGCCTGGCATTCCGCGTGCGCTTGTTCCAGACGCCGGCCCAGGAGCTCCATCCGTCTCCCCACGTCCGTGCTCTGGGCACAAACTCCTGGAGGAGCAGAAGCTGCTGGCTCCACCTGGGCTTAGAAGGGGTTTGGGGCTGGGACTGCGTTTAATTTGGGGTGAATGATGCTTAGGAGTCTGATTTTGCCACTGTCCTGGTGGCTTCAGCTGTGGTGGAGGCTCTTCACACCTCTGCACCGTGCACGTTGTCCCTGTCACGTTGCTTACTGCAGTCGTCACCTGGGAAGGGACCCTTGAACTCATCCCTTCCATGTCTCCAACGGGGAGCCCCTGTTTTCTTCGGGGGTTTCTTCTTCCCACTGGCTCGGGTGCAGAGCATTGAACAGCACCCCTTTGCGGGCTGCCTGTCCCCAGAGCCTGGCTGTCCTTGGAGACTGACAGCTGTCAATCTAGGAAGGCTGGGGGACAGCCCTGCTGGGGGATGCTGCTGTGGAGAGGCTCGGCAGGTTTGTGGCACTGCTCTTCTTCGGCAGCGGCACGGTCACGGGAGCTGAGAGGAGGAAACCGGCTGATCCTCAGCCCTTTTCTTCCTCTTTGGGGGCGTTTGTGGGGTCAGGCCGTCTTTGGCTTTGTGCCGTAGCTTGTTCACTTTTGTTTGCGTGGGGTTTTTTCCCCTCCCCTTCCCGTTTAATGTGCATTGATCACCAGAGAACGCGAGTTTCTCATAGTGGTGTTATAACCCTTGTAAATCACAGCTATCACTGCCAATTACCCAGGAAACCGTAATTACCGTTCATGCAACCCGTGCTTCCCATGCTCCTGCGCGTGAGCGTCGCGCAAGGAGGCTGCGCTCGTCTCCTACTCAGGTTATCATCGTTTTTTGGAATGTGATTGCAAGACAAACCGAGCAGCATCGCTGCTTCATTTCTGGGTCGCCTTGACCTGTTCATTTCTGTGAAATGTTGTTCATTTCTGTGAAATGTCCATCTCCTTGTCCACTGAGCTGTAGCAGTTTGAACAGTTACTGCCTCTCCCTACTACTACTTATCCTACAGCTGAGAAGTAGCAGTTAAAAGAGGCTGATCTTGCTTGGGTGGGCGGGTAAAACAGGCTGGCCTGGTTGCACAGAGCAGGGCAGCACTTGGAGAGGAAGTTCTGTAGCTGGTTACAGTGTTCAAGACAGCGTGGTAACTGTTTAACCTGCTCTGGTGCAAAAACAAGAGCCGCCAATCAAGCTAAGAAAGGAGCTCTAAAACCCCACATCTCGCCACAGATTCACCCCAAGCTGCGTATCCTCAACCTTCTTCCACCTCTTCTGGCTTCACGGGGTCACTGTGCCAGTTAACGCAGCCCTCAGGAATTTCACGACTGCTGCTACAATCCCTTTTTTCCTGCTGCACCGTGTCCATGTGACGCTCGGTGTTTTCCCGGCCTGCTTGGTCACACTTGCAGGGAGGTTTAACCTTGGTTTAGCCTTTGCTAAAGGCATCAAGTGAAATGTGGCCACAACTCTTCATCTCCAAGGCCAAAGTCTCCGCTGAGCAGGCCACAGGTCTGTGAACCTTTCTAGGACGCGTTTTTGCCACAGGTGTGGTACCTGTTCAGGTTTCCCATCTGAAGTTTTCTTCCTCAACCTGTTTGGCTTGACTTCTTCACACAGCTGCATCTTGCTGGAGCCAGAGGAGGCTCAAATACATCCTCTATCATTGCGAGGGAATATTGTGCAATTTGAATTACCGTTAAATGCAGGATTCAGTTTGAGGGAGATGAGAAAAGCCCCAGGCTCAGACTCTGTTTCACAATGTGTTTCATCAAAAACGTATCTGGGAGGGTGCCAGATATGTCGAGGAGTTGAAAATTGGTTTTTACTTTAAAAAGAAAGTTTGCTACTAGATGAGAGATGATGCACAGCAGTACGGCTGCTGTCTATTTTCATCAGCAGTGCCTAAAAAATGTATTGTGTTCGGATTCCATAGGTCACTTTGTAGGTACTTTGGTGAGTACTTTAGTGATGTTTTCGTGTTATTTCTCTGATTTTTTTTTTCCAATTGAATTTGGACAAGTCAGTCACTCAGCACGGCCAGCTCTTGCTTTTATCTGCTGTGCACCAAAGGGCAGATGCTGCTTGCAGGGACCTGCAAGCTCATTTTGCAGCACAGAGCTCTTTCCTTTGACCAGTGAGTGTGTTCATTCCTCCAAGTGCCTTCTCTGAAACACATAATATTTTTGTTTGCATATTTTTTGTGCCAGAGAAGAGGGCAGAGTAATCTCTGCATGCTTGTGCAATCCGCTGAGTGTAGCTGTGGGCACTCCAAACTATTTCCAGTCCTGGGGAGACATAAAGCAGTCGCTTGCTTGAGAGACTGCTCACAGGCCCCTGCAGCGCAACGAGGCCGCTTCTGCTTTAGAAACGTGGACGTGACTCGCTTTCCATTAAGGAAAAGATATTGTTAAAATCTGAAATTGTTGCTTTGAAGCCCGAGGTGCCTCTTGTTGATGCTGAGGGAGCCCTTCTGCAGTCACGCAGCCCAGGCCATGCTGGGACTGTGAACGCTCTCTGGAAACCCGTGCGCAAGGTCTGGCGGCCCCTCACGCGCTCCCGCTGTGAGAGCCCGGGCACGTCCCAGGCCCCGCGTCCCCTCTCGGTGCTGGGGGAGGAGCGGAGGGCGCCCGCGCTCCCCGTTGGCTCCGTCGCCGTCTGGCCGCGCGCTCGTGGCGCCCAAGCGG